CTTTGTTTTGGGATAATGGAAGAGAATTCTGAGCTGTTCTTTCTGGATCCAGGGCCTCCTTACCAAACATTTCTGTGTGCAGTGATGTTCTTCATGAGTCCTCGAGGTCACTAGGTCACGGCCCTTGCTGGAAAGGAAGTGTAAGTGGTACGAGGGCTCAGGCTCCAGACTGATTTCAAATCCTGACTCCTACACTCATTAGCTCTGGAATTTGGGGCACATGAATTTATCTTTCTGAACCACAGTTTACATATCTGCAAAAGGGGGATGAACTACATACCTCATAAGGTTATTATGAGAATTAAAGGAAACAATCCATGTGAAGTGTTCAGCACCATGTCTGGAGTGTTGTAAATGTCCACTAAGTGGTAACTATAAACACTATTATTATCGATTGAACCAACCTTAGACTTTTTTAACCATATTGCAAAATTCTCCCAAAATGAAGCCAGCTCCTATGTCTCCATGTTTTTGCTATTTGTTTCTTAAGCAATGTAACCAATGAATGATTCAGTCCAATTCTGAAAAGGCTGAAAGTCTGAACAATCTGTCCCCAAGGAACTATGCTCCCGGTAACAAGGCCACGCAAGGCACCCTGATATACTATATACCTCCCATATATATATATAGATAGATAGATAGATAGATACAGAGATAGAGATATAGAGATATAGAGATATAGAGATATTCATTCCCAGGGATAAAATTCACTTTACAAATGACATAAGAGTGTTGTTTCAGTTTGGTTTTTTGGTCTGAAGTACAAAACTCAGTCAAAGATAGAGTAGACCAGTGTTTCCTACTCTTCCATCTGAAAATTTAAGTGAAAGGACAAGATTGTTTCTGATGAAGAGGAAACTTTCAGTTTCAAGTAATAAGAACCCAATTCAAAATAGCTTTAGAAAAGAAAAACAAACAAACAAAAAAACCAAAAAACAAAGAAACAAAGAAACAAAAAGAAACAACAACAACAAAAAACAAACCACAGGGATTCACTGGCTGACTAATTAAAAATTTGATTATTGTGCTAAACTCAACCAAATCTAGCTCTAATGATACCAAGAACTTGTCTCTTTCCATCCTTTGTCTCTGTTCTTAGAATTGGCTTCATCCCAGGCAGCTCTACCTGCCTGTATCCTGATGATCTCCAACAGATCCAATCTTACCTTCTATCATCCTAACAACTAGCAAAGTAAGAGTTTCTCCTTCCCAGAACTGATGCCCACTGGTTTGACTAGCCTGTCTTGAGTCCCAAGCCCTCTGCAAAACTATTCATTGTATTTAGGAGAGGTGAGAGTCCTTGACTGATAGTCTCCTCCTAACTGAATGCAAATGAGCAAAGGATAGTTCCCAAAGGAAAAACTAGGGCTGTTTCCGATAAAGGAGAAATCTGTACTGGTTAGACAAAGACAGAAGATGTTTATTAGGCCATCCAGGGCTCTTTAAACTCTGTAGCTACCTTTGGAACCTTTTAGAAGCTTCAAGACTGGGCCAGTTCCATTGACAAATCCTTAGGGCACACTTCCCTCTGCAGTTAG